GGGCAAGTCACACTCTAATTATTATTATTATTATTATTATTATTATTATTATTATTATTATTATTATTATTATTATTTTATCAATATCCCGCCCCTCTGCGGAACAATCAATCTCAGAGGAAGGTAAAGGCAAAAACCCTCTGCATAAATCTTGCCAAGAAAACCCTGTGATAGGATCATCATAAGTTGGAAATGACCTGAAGGCACACGATAACAAAGTACAAAGGTTTTATGTTGCACAATTCCTGCCAGAGCTTTCTTCAAAACAAGAGTTTTCCCTTACAGTATTCCCTTATATTATACTAACAACGCTGAGAAACTTTGTTGTAACAAAGAGGTGGCAAACTATTGTTATTGTTGTTAACTACCATCAAGTTGGCTTTGACATATGAGACTTTAAAGCAGGGGTAGGCAATCTAAGGCCCGGGGGCCAGATGCGGCCCTCCCAAGGCCTTTGGACCGGCCCCAGGCCGGTCCTGCCACCGCCACCGCCCCCCACCATGATGATATTGATTATTGTTGTTACTTGTTCTTGGGGTTTTCTTGGCAAAATCTCCACAGGGGTTTTGTCATGGCTTTTCTGGGGCTGAGAGAGTGTGCATGCATATTTTTTTTAAAAAAATAATTAATTTTAATTTTAATTTTAATTTAATTTATTTATTTTTGGTGCTTTGGCCCCCCAATTGTCAGAGACAGCAACCCAGCACCTGGCTCAAAAAGGTTGCCTACCCCTGCTTTAAAGAGCCTTGCTCATGTCTGAAGACTCAGGGCTCTGGCTTTTTAAAACAAGTCTATCCACCTATAATGCAATCGTTTGCATGCTGTCCTCAACTTTGTTGTTGTTGTTGTGTGCCTTCATTTCTGACATGGTGAGCCTAAGGCAAACCTATCATGGAGTTTTCTTGGCAAGATGTGCTCAGATATTGAGCATTAATATAATTTCCAATGGGTCATCTATGTCATCTAATCAAAATATAGCCTAACTCACCATTCTGCAATAACACTAACCTACGCGTGGTTTAAGCATTGGACTATGGCTCTGGAGACCAGAGTTCGATTGCCGCTCAGCCATGAAACCCACTGGGTGACTTTGGGCAAATCCCATGCTCTCAGCCTCAGGGGAAGGCAATGGCAAACCTCCTCTGAACAAATCTTGCTAAGAAAACTCAAATGATAGGTTCACCTTATGGTTGCCGTAAGTTGGAAACGACTTCAAGGCACGCAACACACATACACACTTTGGAAAGCAAAAAAATTTGTGTGGTATACCAGAAGCAGTTGCACTGCAACTCCCATCAGCCCTTATCAGCATAATGAATGGTGAGGAATAGCATGAGCTGGAGTCAAAAACATATGGAGGACCACACATTCCCCTCTTGTGATCCAAGGAGAAAGAGGAAAGAATATTCCTATCGCCTTTTAACCTATAGGAAGAATATGCTAAGCACAGTCATAACCCAAAAACTACTGGATAAAGTAAGCAGTAGGCAAAGAGGTAGAGAGACAGTGTTGCGTAGTTCTTTTAAGTGTTACACTGACTACAACTATAGAGATCAAGGTTCAATTCCCATCTGGCCATGGAAACCCACTGGGTAACCTAGGGCAAGTCACACACTCTCAGCTTCAGAAAAACCCCTGATAGGGCCACCATAAGTTGGAAATGACTTGAAGACACACAACAACTAGGCAGAAAGGTCTAGCTTTATTTCTTGGTGCTATTGTGGCTTAAACACTTCCCTCAATGCTTGTTGAGATTCTTGTAGGAAAATGTTGGGCAAGTCACTCGCTTGGCTATATCCGCACTGCAGAAATAATGCAGTTTGACACCATTTTGATTGCCACGGCTCAATGCTATAGAATCCTGGGATCAGTAGTTTTGTGATATATTTTGCCTTCTCTGTCAGAGAGGTCTGGTGCTGCAACAAACTACAAATCCCAGGATTCCATTAAAGCGGTGTCAAACTGCATTAATTCTGCAGTGTGGCAGCAGCCGCTGTGAAATTAAACCTGCCCCACAGGGTGGTTGTGGGGTTCAGACTGGAATCCTATACACACTGAAGGGGGACTTACTTCTGAGTAAACCTATATAGGACTGCTCTGTAAGATGGGGTGGCTGGTAATATTAGGGTGCATTTACACTGTGGAAATAATGCAGTTTCACCAGAAGTCCTCACCACAAAGGAGGACCTTCAAGAAAAATGGCTCAAAACACTCATATAAATAAGAGAAATCCATGCTTTTTAGTCATGCTCCAAATGGAGGACATTCTGGAATTCCTCCTGGACAGAAGGTGGAAATGGAGGACACGTCCTGGAAAAGGAGGACCTCTGGTCACCCTGATACTACTTTAGGTGGTATGGAATCCTGGGATTTGTAGTTTCACAGTTTATTTACCCTTCTCTGCCAAGGAGGGCTGGCGGTGCCTCACCAAACTACAAACCCCAGGATATCGTAGGATGATGGAGCCCTGGCAGTTAAAGCGGGGTCAATCTGCATTATTTCTACAGTGTAGAGCCACTGTCGGGGAATGGCTTGAGCGTTGGACTACGGCCCTAGAGTCCAGAGTTCCAAACCCATCACACTCTCTCAGCCTCAATGGCAAACCCCCTCTGAAGAAACTTGCCAAGGAAACCCTGACAACAAGACGCACTCCTGAGGAAAATGCGATTGGCAGGAGGGGGGGGCACCAAAAGGAGGCACCTTTCTTTTCCTCTTTTCTGCCCAGCTTCACCATGCAACCCACTGAAGGACCCTGAGCAAGTCACACTCTCTCAGCCTCAGGGGAAGGGGCATTTGGGAAGGAGTCGGAGACCCCCGAGCCTTAACCCCCCCCCCCCCCCGTCCCCGTCCTCTTACCTTAGTCATGCCGACTCCCACCACGAAGACCCTCCTTAACTGGGATGGAGGCATGGCGGCCGTGTGTGAGGCTGCTGGGGTTGGAGCTGGTGGTGCAACAGAGGCTGAGGTGGTTGCTCCACTGCCAGCGCCACAAGGGCTTCTCCTCCTTCTCCTCCTTCTGTCAGGCAAAGGTCGGAGGGAGGCGGTGACTAGTCTCAGCTCAACCGCGCCGGCCTTCAAAACCAAACGCCTCCCCCTCAGTCGCTACACTCTTATATAGTGCTGTTATTCCACTATGAGTGCTCTGGCTACCTCCTGTTGCATTCTGGGACTTGCAGTTTAAGGAGGGGGCCTTTCGAATTCTCAGCCAGAGAGCGCTTAGGCCTCACTGAACTACAGGCCCCAGAATGCAAGTGGAAGAGCAGCACTATAAAGGTGTACTGGACACTCATCCCTCCACATTTTGCTGGGGTTAGGGGCACAGGACCCCTGTGAATGTGGAAAAATCGCAAATAACAAAAACACTATGTTTTTACCTGAGAACACCTCTCTAGGAATCTCTAGGTCCTCCAGTGCAACTCTGTGGTCAACATCTGTCAGACATTGACCATAGAATTGCGCTAGAAGAGCTATAAATGCCTAGTGGAGCATTCTCTCTAGGAATCTAGGTCCTTCAGTGAGACTTTTGGTTCAGTTTGACCGTAGAGTTGTGCAGGAGGACCTAGATATTCCTAGAGAGAATATATTAATAAAATCTGTGAATAATCAAAGCCGCAAAATTCAAAGTCGCAAATGTGGAGGGACAAGCGTAGTGGGGTAATCTTAGGGCAGGAGCAGGCAACCTTTCCCCTTTAAGGGCTGAGGGACTTCAGCTCCCAGAATCCCAGGAGCTATTGGCCAACATGGCTGAGGCTTCTGGGAGCTGAAGTCTCTCGGCCCTTAAAGGGGAAAGGTTGCCTACCCCTGTCTTAGGACAATCTGCATTTCCACGCTACGCTCTTATAGTGCTGTTATTCCACTATTAGTGCTCTGGCTGCCTCCTGTTGCATTCTGGGATTTGCAGTTTAAGGAGGGGGCATTTAGGATTCTCAGCCAGAGAGCTCTAAGGCCTCACTGAACTACAAGCCTCATTAATGTGGAATATCACACTGTTCTAGTGCTATTATTCCGTTTTATGGCTGCCTCCTGTGGGATTTGCAGTTGAGGGAGGGGCCTTTAGGATTCTCAGCCAGAGATTTCCAATAGTGCACATTAAACTGAGGCACTGCCCTGGCTCAGTGCTAGGGAATCATGGGAATTGTTTTTTCCCCCTGAGACATTGAGCCTTCTCTGTCAGAGAGCTCTGGTGCCACAATAAATTACAGTTCCCATGATTCCTTAACACTGAGCCAGGGCAGTGCCTCAATTTAAAGTGCACTATTTCTGGCAGTCTGCTTAGGCCCTAAACTACAATCCTCAGAGTGCAACAGGAGGCAACCAGAGCAGTAAAAGTGGAGTAGCAGCACTATAAGAGTGTAGTGCTGTAGTCTACTGGGGGGTGCGGGCTTCACAAGGTGCTCCTCAGGCCCATGGTGGCACTAGGATTGTTGTCACCCGATTTAGTAACTCATGGTGTCAGCCCCCTCCATTAACCTCTTCCTGTATCAAACCGTACAGAATCCTTAGTCATGTTTTTTTTTTGTACTCATATTACTCATAAATCATAATTCCCATATATCACTGGATGTCACAGTAATACTTGTGACATAAACCTCCTTCCTTGGAGGTCTTTAAGCAGAGGCTGGATGGCCATCTGTCGGGGATGCTTTGATTGGGAGTTCCTGCATGGCAGGGGGGTTGGACTGGATGCCCCTAGTGGTCTCTCCCAACTCTATGAATCTAAACAACCTGTAAAAATTAAAATTATACCTTCAGCAACACTAAGGTGAACCATTATGAGGTTTTCTTGGCATGATTTCATAGAATCATAGAGTTGGAAGAGAACCCAAGGGCCATCCAGTCCAACCCCCTGCCATGCAGGAACTCAAAGCAACCCCAACAGATGGCCATCCAGCCTCTGTTTAAAGACCTCCAAAGAAGGAATTTGTTCAGAGTAGGTTTGCCATTGCCTTCCCCTGAGGCTGAGAGAGTGTGACTTGCCCAAGGTCCCTCAGTGGGTTGCATGGCCAAGCTGGGAATCGAATCCCGGTCTCCAGAGTTGTAGTCCAAAGCTCAAACCACTAAGCCACACTGGCTCTAATACAATAATAAGTTTGTGCATGAAACAAAGTTTGTGGACATTGAACCCTCTGAAAGCAATAGTATCACTGTCAAAGACATCAGTGGAAAAAGGTTTGGGTTTTGGAGTATTTTGGTAGTCTGGTAAGTGAAACTTAACCAGTATTTGTAATAATGCCATCATGCACCAAAAATGGAGCCCGAGTAAACAAGAATAACAATCTTGTAGAAAAATAGTCTTGTAGACATAATAGTCACAGTAGGTCAAAAGCTAGCTAGCCATTAAAAGTGTTTGGGTTTGAGAACAGGTTTGTTGTTTAACCGAATCTTGGGAAAAGACTACTTTCAAAAGAATGAATATAAGGTCCAAAATGCACTGCAAAAATAATCCAGTTTGAGACCGCTTTAACTGTCCTGGTTCAATGCTTGGGAATTCTAGGTTTTGTGAGACATTGAGCCTTTTCTGTCAGAGAGTTCTGGTGCCACAATAAACTACAATTTCCAGGATTCCCTAGCACTGAGCCAGGGCAGTAAAGTGGTCTCAAACTAGATTTCTGCAGTGAATTTTGGACCTAAGTGACATCAGAAGCCATCATGTCCATTACTGAGTTGTCATCCTTCCCTGGTCAAGCGGCTTCAGCGTGCCATTATTCATTTATTCATCTCAAGTAAAAGTTGTTATTCATTTCTATTAAAAGTAAATAAAAAGTAAATTCATTTCTATTAAAAGTAAAATCCACACGTTCTGGTTAATCCGGTGCCTGAAGGAAGCATGCCAAGGGAATTAAGGGTGGATCTACACTGTAGAAATGATGCAGATTGACATCACTGTAATTGTCTGTGGCTCCATCCTACAGAATCCTGGGATTTGTAGTTTGTTGAGGCACCAGCCCTCTAGCAGAGAAGGCCCTTGTAAAAACTACTGTTCATAGGATTCCATAGGATGGTGCTACAGCACTCAAAGTGGTGTCAGAGGGCCTTTGCAGACTGCTAGAAATAGTGCAAATGGAGTCCACTTTAATGGTTAGGGAATCATGGGAACTGTAGTTTATTGTGGCACCAAACTCTGACAGAGAAGACTCAATGTCTGAGAAAAAAAAAACAATTCCCATGATTCCTTAGTACTAACACTAACCCTTAAAGTGGACTCAATTTACACTATTTCTG